AAAAAAAAAAAAAAAAAAAAAAAAAAAAAAAAAAAAAAAAAAAAAAAAAAAAAAATGATAACTAATAATAACAATTACTTAAATTTCATCTCGGTCTCTGATCTGGGCTTAATTCCTTATTAACGGTTTTAACAACCTATATACATCATTGGTTATTTACTAAAATAATTTTCACTTGGGTGTACAGGAAACTTTGTTCAATAGAAAAATATTATTGTAAAGCGGGATTTCACATACGAAAAAGTGACACATTCTGGCACCATTAAATTAGCAGTTATATTTAACTTAAATAATTAATAGAGGATAATCGATGCTGTACGATCATTATACAATCACACGACTACAGAATTGCTTAATTTAATGTTAGTCGATGATTTTTTTCTTCAAAAATTTTACCACAAATTTGAAAAACTGCGCAACATCGATTATTTTAGCCAGACGTGGTAATTCATTATTTGTAATGACTTATGAAAACTTCAAATTTATTGATTATTATCCGAAAATAGGATAAAAACAGCAAAATATTTTAAGTTTCCATTCCCATTCTGGTTATGTTCATTGTAAGTCTAATATTAAAAATACAAATACAGGTGACAAAGAGAAATTTGAATCCTAGAGTGTATATGCATGCATAGCATATGTATCACGCGTATTGTCTAATTGCTATAAGTACCGGAGAAGGTGTAAATCTGAATATGAAAAAAAAAAAAAAAAAAAATTACAGGATATTAAAGTGCTGATATAATAGTATTGATTGACCGCATTAAGTAAAAGAATTGGAAAAAATTAAGTTTAATAAAAATATTGATGGAAAAAATTTTTGGAGTAAGTAAAAAATCTAATTGGTACCAATGTATCATAAGCCTTTTAATAGTAAAAGCAACTACTTACAAAAATTTTGGAATCAAATCGAAAATTATTCAAATGTAGGAGAAGGATAGCATTTGAAGTAGTAAAAAAAAAAAAATATTTCGTGAAAAGTTAGATAGTATCTCTATTTAAAACTTGCGAAAAAAGTCTAAAGGCGTATATTTTACAGCACTCTAGCATTCATTTAAGTATCAAGATGACTATTGGTCATAAAGCCTGGGATTTACTTTGTTTTCATACCCACTTCAATAGCGCATTACACGTGATCTCTTAAAAATACTAGAAATTATTCTTTTTTTTTTTTTTTTTAACTCAATTTCATTGAAATTGAGTTGGACTCGCCTTGATTACATGAATTTTTAAAGACAAAACGCATACGTGTAATTTCAGCTTTTGAAGAATGATTGGAAACGCCAATGCAATCAATGCATTAATGTTTACAATATCGTTGCTTAATCTAGCAGTACAAGTTATTCAAATGGTAAGTATAAACGAGATTGATTGATGTCAAATCAAACATGACAATATATTTATGCGACTGAGCGTAATTAAGAAAATGCAAGTAATCTGTTACCGTATCAGAAGCCATTTCTTAATGCTTTAACAATACATTGTAAATTTTTATAATATTATTCATCATGGCATTAATTTTATGACAGAAAATCACTCGATTGTCTTAACTAATGTCAATCGCAAGCTTAAAAAATAAAAACAAAATAAACTGCCATAAATAATTAATTTATAAAATTGTATGCAACGTTCGTATATATATATATGTAAACGATGAATACTGTGATATACACAAATGACGATGGTTACATAATCATAGGAGAAGATAAAGATGTAGATATTATGCGCATAGTCATGTTGCGAGTTATAGATAAAAAAAGGTTTTTTTTCCATACAAATAAATGTAGATAATAAAAAAAAAATTGGAAGGTAGGTAGCTCATGTATATGCGACGTATACATATTTCTTCTAAAGATTGTGTGAAAATATTAAGGACAGAGGATGTTAAAAAATACAAGAGGTAGAGAGAGAGCAGTAGATAATAAAAAGATAACAATAATAAAATAGTTATAATGGTCCAATTGATAATCAAAAAGTATAAAAAATTAAAAATATTGAATGTAAATTAAAAAAATTATATAGTAAAAGGTAGAGATAGTAATCATAATAATTAATAATAAATGAATTAATACGTAAGAAATATGAAAATTGCCTAAAACTCGGCCAGGGCGGCAGTACGGAGACGGTGAGCTCCTCGTCGGAGTCCTGGTTCGAGCGATTGCTTGCCCGTCCGGACATCGNTTTTTTTTTTTTTTTTTTTTTTTTTTTTTTTTTTTTTTTTTTTTTGTTTTTTTTTTTTTTTTTTTTTTTTTTTTTTTTTTTTTTTTTTTTTTTTTTTTTTTTTTTTTTTGTTATTTCAATTGTGATTTTTGTCTTCTCGCTAATTGTTCAATTTTCGCACTACGCATGTTGTCTCTACTTGCTGTGTGTATTACTCATCGCTCTCTACATCGACCTTTTCTTCTCTTTACAAGGGGTATTTATACACTTTTTTTTTTTCCAAAGAGTGCATCTTTTTACAAATTATCGAAAATTTTTTGGTTTCGCATGTGTTAGAAACAAATTTGCCATGTATAATACAATGGAGAAAAAAAAGAAAACGATGAGTTAGAGCTTGCGGGTATGATAACACTCATACGATGTATTAACAGCTGAGAATCGAAACGTAACAAAATTTAATCTAAAAAAAAAAAATTTGTATGCACTCAATAGTGAAATTGTTCATAAATCTAACTTTCAAAAGTGACATAAACAATGTTTCGTTTCGATTCATTGAAGCGGTATATATGTGAGTGTACAAATAAATAAAGTAAAATAAAACATGTCTTAATTCGATAGAGATAAAAGTGCTGGATAAAGAATATTATGTCGAAACCCTTACTTTGAGAAAATTTTTCGGACGAGGTGGTCTTGCGATTGATCTAATTGTGGCTCGTTTTTCCTCCTCTCCGCTAATTCCTTCTCGCGTCGAACGTCGGCGACTTTTCGAAAAATAAGCTGTAAACATCAGTTCATTATAGCTACATGAAATCTCATTTTTTTTCTCTATCAATTAGTGTTCTCTTAACCAATCCATACATCGATTATTGCTCAACATGAAACTCTGCGTTTTATCAAACTTTACTTCCATAGTAAAAATTGTCATGAAAATTAATTGGACAAAAATTTACGATCTCATAGATAGCGTAATTTGTGAACCATAAATTAATAAATGATGATGCCTGAGGAATAATAACGAACTGAAGCTTTTATTACGGATTCTTATCTTAAAAAAAAAAAAAATAATAAGTAGCTTGCAGGAAGACGTGCTCCGAATTTAAGCGACTTTGTACGCCTGAAACTTAACTGCTGTCATTAAAGTTGTCATGCGAAATTACCTTCAACATATATGTTGCAAAAGTGAGCTGCTCTCTTGTAAGAATAAAATACAATTTTACTGCCTACGGTAGCGTTGCCCGCAACCTTTTATACGCCCGCAGTGATAAAAATTGTTTCGCGAACATTAAAGTTGAATAAAAAGTATTTCCTTAATGGTATGATTCGACAATATATTGTATAATAAATGACATTTGGGTGTTTGTCCTCCTGCGTAACTAAAATTAGAAATACTGTTGCGAAAATTGAAAATGCATTAATTACAAGGTTTTAGGGCTTCAGGAGTACATTCATATTAATGAGTTGTATCGATCGTCACATTGGTCGAAGGTGTAGAACATGTTTGCGGCAAAATTAATTAAGGGTAGTAACGAAACCAATTTATTAAACCACAATACATGCACAAGTGAATTTCAATACTAGTGTAAACATCTCACAACACATCCGAAGAGCACTGTATTCTGTTTAGCAATTTCAACATTTAGTATTGTAACAATATGTTTAATCAAGTATTTATGCATGTACACCTAATTATGTGAAAAAGTTTTATAATTGATATTAAATATTACGTATTATAAACTACACAAGTTTCAATTCATTTGTAACAGTTAATATTAGTTTTTATTTATTTTTTTTTCTTCTTTACTTTACAAGATGTCATTTTGGATTTGACGAAAATAAAAAAAAAAAAAAAAAAATGATAACTAATAATAACAATTACTTAAATTTCATCTCGGTCTCTGATCTGGGCTTAATTCCTTATTAACGGTTTTAACAACCTATATACATCATTGGTTATTTACTAAAATAATTTTCACTTGGGTGTACAGGAAACTTTGTTCAATAGAAAAATATTATTGTAAAGCGGGATTTCACATACGAAAAAGTGACACATTGAATTTTTTTCAATTAAACGCACATTAAAAACTAGTTGATAACTTTGTGTGCAGGATTGCTGCGAATACAAAAGAAGATGTGCGCTATCTAGTGCAAAAGGACATTTTTACCACCCATGTATTTTCTTGTCTTTGCTTTAGATGTAATAGTAAAAAACATAATTATTTTTTTCATAATACACCGTACCATGTGAAATAATGGAAAAGCGAAACCGCTGTTGCATAATCATTCGAATGTTAAAAAAAAGGGGGCGATTTTCTTTTGAAGGCAAAGAAAAGTTTATACCGTATCGACTAACGAGAGAGAAATCATTAAACGCAACAATCAAAGTTTAACGAGCCCTAACAAAGCGAAAAATATAAGATACAGCGTTTCTTTTTGTTTTTGAAAAAGGCCAGATAAATAATTAAGTATTGTGTGGAACAGTGCACCCGAAAGTGGCACTATTTATTTAATTAATAAACAAAGCGGCCAGTAAGCGCGCTAGGTTGTGTGGTGATTAACGCTTTTGTTATTATTTAAAGCATTATATTTTAAAGTGGCCAGTAGGCGTTCTGCGTTGCTGGGTTAAATAGCATTGGGTTATTGGGTTTAATAGCTTGGGGTTTATTTATTTATTATTTTAGAAATTCTGTTGAGTTATGTGGGTTTTTGCGTTTTGCTCCATATAGCCAATTTGAATTTGGCGCTACTTTGGATGCCACTTTCGGCAAACAGAAACGAAGAAGAGGAGCGAGAGACTCTCCAGCTGAATTTGAGCGCATGCCCGTCAACTTTCGCTCGATATTTTCATCTCTTCGAGAGAGAAAGAGAGAGAGAGAGAGAGAGTGAGAGCAAGCAGACGACGCACTTAACCTCAAAAAAATTTATATATATATTGCATGCAATTATAAAATAGTTATAATGGTCCAATTGATAATCAAAAAGTATAAAAAATTAAAAATATTGAATGTAAATTAAAAAAATTATATAGTAAAAGGTAGAGATAGTAATCATAATAATTAATAATAAATGAATTAATACGTAAGAAATATGAAAATTGCCTAAAACTCGGCCAGGGCGGCAGTACGGAGACGGTGAGCTCCTCGTCGGAGTCCTGGTTCGAGCGATTGCTTGCCCGTCCGGACATCGTGATCTGCGGCTCCCCCTCGGTCTTGAACCTTTTTTTCGTGCCAGCCGCCACGTGTATCACACAGAGACAGAGGAGAGATAGACGAACACAGGTTTTTTTGGTTCAGCTTCTTACTTTTTCGGCTCATGTGCTTGTTTTTTTTTTTTTTTTTTTTTTTTTTTTTTTTTTTTTTTTTTTTTTTTTTTTTTTTTTTTTTTTTTTTTTTTTTTTTTTTGTTATTTCAATTGTGATTTTTGTCTTCTCGCTAATTGTTCAATTTTCGCACTACGCATGTTGTCTCTACTTGCTGTGTGTATTACTCATCGCTCTCTACATCGACCTTTTCTTCTCTTTACAAGGGGTATTTATACACTTTTTTTTTTTCCAAAGAGTNTATATTTATATATATATATAGTGGATAAGGAGGTGGGAGGGGCGCGCGCGCACGCAGCAGACGAGATCGGAGCAGACCACCGTTGTGTGTTTTTCTGGAGCAGCAGAAGCGTCATTCGCGTTCGGGACGTCTGCTCGCTCTGTTTTCATTCGTTTAGTTGAGTGTTATTATACTTGCAGTGTTTTATCATTAACAAGTTTAATCTATAATAAAAACCCACGTTAACAGCGTGCTGTATAGGAGCGTCGCGAGTGGTTGAGCTTTCGGATCAGTTGCCTCCAACTACGTCACTGCGTTTATGGATTATCGGAGTCGAGGTAAGCTGCGTTTTATGTATACGCTCTCGAAATAACCTGATTCCCGCATCGTTTACACATTGTCGTGATGATGGCTCAAATTGCTCACGTCATGTGATCTATACACGTACTTATACACATATGTGCCGCATTATTGCAGATGGGGCACGGATCGTCGAGTCGCTCGGCCTCGTCGAACATGCTGTCGGCGGACGAGCAGACCCTGGTCGAGAACCTGTTCAAGTCGATGTCGCGGAGTTCGGGCTCAATAAAGCGCGAGGACATATTTAAGCACTGGTCCGCCCACCTGGACGACGCGCTTCTGCAATTTGTCGTGCGTTTTCTGTGCCACGAGCCCGGTAAGCGCGTGTCAGCCGTCAACGGCGACAATTTCGGCAAATTGTACGTGTACACGGTGCGAGGTAGCTCGGACGAGCGGACGAATCTTATATTCCGGGGCTTCTCCGAGGAGGAGCCCAAGAATGACGTACCGACCGCCACGTTTCTGCAGTACCTCCAGGCGACCATCAACTCCTACCTGACCCTGCAGAAAAACTGCGCCAACGCGCACTTCATGTCGTGGAGCAGCATCGGCTGTACCGTCAACAAGAGAAGGATAAACATGAGGTCGCGCACCCTTTGCGAGGACCTGGTCAAGCTAGGGGACACCCTCACCTACGACCAGGTGGAAATGTGGTTTAGGCAAGCAGACACCTTCATGAACATCCAGTCGCACGTGTTCCAGTGTCTCTTCCTCGTCTCCCAGAAAAAGGGTGACAAGAACACCTCGGTGAGGATCAACGATCTCAACCTGTTGCCACTCTGCAGGGGCTTGGAGAACATACCCCACTTCCCGAGCATACTGGGACTCGGCGACGTGCTGTTTTTAAATCTCAGTTTGCCACACGAGTTGCGGAACGAGTGGCGTTTTCTCTTCTCCAGCCAAGTGCACGGGGAGTCCTTTTCCACGATGCTCGGGAGGATAACGGTGCAGGGGGCGACGATTATCATACTCCAGGACGAGGAGGACCACGTGTTTGGGGGCTTCGCCTCGGACAATTGGACATTATCGCCGAACTTTGCCGGCAACCAGACGTGTTTTTTGTTCAGGCTGGAGCCGCACATCGAGACGTTCCCCTCGACCGGCTATAACGACCACTACCAGTACCTCAATTTGCACCAACAAACCATGCCCAACGGACTGCTGATGGGTGGCCAGCTCAACTATCCTGGATTGTGGCTGGACAGCGAGTACGGGAGCGGGAAGACTAGCAAGTCGTGCACGACTTTTCAAAATTACGCGCAACTCAGTGGCAAGGATGACTTTAGGGTGAAGCACTGCGAGGTCTGGGGCGTGGGGCCCGTCCCGGAGATCATCGAGAGAGAGAGGGACTCGGTTCTGGATCAAGACCCCACGTCCCAGGTTTTACTGGAACTGGCTGGGAAGAAGATGCACAGCGACGGATTGCGAGAAAAGAAAAAGTGAAGCAGGCCGGTCGATAATCTTACTTGGACCAAGTATTTTTTTTTTTTTTTCTTTTTATTTTCGTTCTCCGCAATTCCTTATTTGGTGTACAAATATATTAATTTATTACAATGCCTATCCTGCACTAGTCAGCTCGTACTAATTGTGTTTTAAAATATACTGAGTCTTGCTACTCAATACATACATTTTAATTTTTCACAAAAAGTCTGAGCTAATTTGTCGCGACGAAAGACTTCAGCCATAAGTTTATCCATAAGTTATCGATTGCACGCAGATACGATAGTTTTTTATCGACACCTGGTTATCCGTTTGATCACCAAAACAAGAGTACAGAGAGATAATGATTATGATATAATCGATAGCATCGAGGCGGAAAGAAAAAGATAAAGCTCGACGAGCATGTCGCGGTTGTACGATGCTATAATTATATCGGTGTGATATTCCTACACGCAGCGCGGCGATGAGTAGTGTCGATGACTCCGTGGGCCGTGAAAAAAGAGTTAATTTTTTTTATTGGGTGCAACAAATTACCGTATGAGCTTCGATTTACGAAAAATATATATATACATATATGTTTAAAGCAACTATCGAAACATGTAAACGAATTTTTCGGGTCGATGTTTTTTTAGCAAATCTGGCGAGGTGAAACTTGAAAAGCCGATTATTTTTATTCCCCTTTCTTTCTAACAAAAGTATTTAAGAAAATGTATTGTATAATCGTGGAACTCTATTTTTGCTGTTTTTACGTATAATATGTATATATAGTAGCTCTGAAAGGACAGCGTGAGATTGATTTTATCGTGTACTTTCTATAGATGTGTGTGACTCAAAGTACCTAACGTGAACGTGTGTTTTCAAGATCTAAAAAGACCAATCAATTGAGAAAAAAAAACTACTTAGTTAGACGAACAAAGAAAAAAAGACTATTGTAAATACAAAGTCATTGTGAAGTATCTTCACCACGTAGTTAGTATTTTCTGCCAACTAGATTAATTTAAAAATTAAAAAAAAAAAAAAAAAGAAGAATAGTTTATATTAAACGAGCTGTTCAACTATCGAATTTTATTCGAAGGATCATCGAAAGCTACAAAAATATGGGAGAAAACTTTACTAAAAACAAATAGTAATGAATAAAAAAATCGTCGGGATGAACGAAAAATGTTTTCGACTTTGATCGTTCAAGTTCATCGCGAATGAAGCAAACGGCCTTTTAAATGTACACGGAGAAGGAAATTTCTCATTTTTTAAATCTCTCGTTATTTGTTACTCAATTTAAGATTGAGATTTCTATCGATTGTTCTATTCCTCCTAGCTTGTAAGTACAACTGAATGAAGAACGAATAAGAATTTTCAAATCTAAAAAAAAGCACAAAACTGTATGCAAATCTGATGAATAAAGTCTGTTACTCATGAATTATCTGAGAAAAAACAAATGTCGATAACTCTTTTACCACACCTAAAAAATACTGTACTTGTGATGAAAATCAACACTATGGATAAAAAGTAGGATTGTTTAGACTATTCGTCTATTTTTCATTTAAAACAATAATCGAACTAGCTTTTTTTTTTTTTTTTTTAATTATACATGTAAGGTATGAATTTAACTCTCGAAACAAAGACGTTTTGCGAGGGGAGAAAAAAAAAGACTTGATTGTTTCGAGAGTTATATTCCCCGTGTTAACTGCCAATGGTATAACGTTTAATGTAAAAGAAAAAAAAAGAAAAAAAAAGTGGCTTTCTACTCACCCGGTGGCGCAGATTATAGGTGAGTATGAGGTTGCGCGCGAAGGAATTGGCAAAGGCCTGGTAAAAATCGAGGACCTCGAGGAGCTTGTCGCGCTTGATGGTGTGCAGATCACAGTAGGTGAGCGCCCGTACGTTGGCCGCGCTCTGGCCCACAGCACTGTCCTTCCAAAAACTGTCCCCAAAAACGTCCCCCTTGCCGAGGATCGCCACCACCTCGTCGTCCTGGATGACCTCGAGACTCCCCGTCACGATGAAACACAGCGAGTCTATCGACTCGCCCGTGTGATACAGCAAATCCCCCGGCGCGCTGTGCGACATCGTAAAGTGCATCGCCAGCGCCCGCAGACAGCCGTCCGATGCTAATCTGTTGACCAATTTGATTTATTTATTGTTTTTTTTTTTTTTTTTTTTTTCAACCTATACGGATATCATCCAGGCTGTGATAAATTAAAAAAAACAAGTTATGGATCATCCAACCCCTTTCAATTCGTAGACAATATTTTGATTAAAACGAGAGAAATATCCCAATTTGAGAATACACAGCTATTTTAACTAAAATAATCGCCGTACGTTGTCTAATGTACCTATATATATATGTCAATTAATGCAAGAGACACCCCGTACGTGCACTTTATCCCTGATATACATATCAGGGGTCTGTATAGATACTTATAACCCCTGGCCCCCCAATTTGTAGAATCAATGTGCAATCAACACAAACATTATACACCAGTACTGTACATGACTGTACAAGCGAACAAAGGAATACAAACGCGTGTGTTTGTGTACACACGTACCTGTATAATATGTAAACCCACCAATTCGACCCTTTGATCGATTCCACCTTTCCCTGCCCAATATAAGCTCTGAATTAGAATACACACAATAAGCTACTATGTAAAAGCCACGACGATTTAATTACATTCAAATTAATGGCAATGATCTGCCGATAATTTATCGTGGCGATCGATATTGAAACGTTTTCCCTTGGAAGAAGCTGTATAGAGTGCAGGGACCTATACAACATACACGTATAAGCTAGGAGAGCAACAGCCCGTAATAACGCGATGCGTTCACCTGAAAGCGGGATGCTCGTTGAAAACCTTGCGGTTGAGGTGGACGCAGATGTCGGCCTTCATGTCCTTGGGACAGTAGTTGAGGACCTTGTCGGTGTCGAGGCCCTTTGTCATGGCCCACGTGCTCACCACGTAATCCATGACCCGCTCGCTGAGGGCCTTGGGCACCTCGTGCAGCTTCATGAACTCCCGCACGTTGTTCAGCATGTCGTGGTACTTGGCCGTCGCCGAGGTCATCTGCTGGATGATCGTCGTCACGTGGCCGAATATCGTCGCGTACAGCAGCGCTGGGGACAAGTAAAGACCGTTGGATGATGGAGCGGGTGTATAATATAAATATATGCGCGTTACGGTTGTCGCCAACTCAACTCACCAGCGACGATCATCATGCAGATGGTAAAGATCTTCTCGTTGTCGGTCTCGGCGGCTACGTTGCCGAAACCGACGGACGTCATGCAGGTCATGGTGAAGTACAGCGCGGTGACGTACATGGTCCGCCGGGAGGGCCCGGCCACGAGTTCGGGTGCCGTGCTCGCGTTCGTCCACAGGTAACTGTACGGCGACTGGGTGACGTTCGCGAGCTTCCACAGCCACGAGTACTGGACCCCCGCGTCGGCGTCGGATCTCCCGATCGAGTACCTATTTTTTTTGTTTTTGTTTTTTTGTTTTTTCCAAGTTTATCACCTATACACGATTGTATACCCTCGAGGAGATGGAAGTTGTATATATACCTATCTCTTCCCCCGAGTATATTGGTAAATTATACAATCACCGGCTCGGACGTGCTTTGGTGCAACGTATCTCGGCGTACGTGCCGGAAAGTTGTGCACGAGCAAGTTTTGCCGTCGAAAGGACTCGATTACTCAAAAAGTTCCCCCCGAGTCGAGCGCGCGTGCATGTATGATAATGCACAAACTTTTTCGGGCTGCACTACTCGTGTGTACACTTTAACCGGGCTTGGTCGCAAAAAGTTTATCAAAGGAGAAGCCAACCCCCCCTCCCGAAACTTGCTCCATACGACTTTTCTCCCGATGATGCCTCTCAGCGAGAGGGGTAAACATCATCATCCGTGCAATTCAAGGTCTATACAACACTGGCAATTGGGCATAATTATGTTATTACGCGAATCATCTCTAAAAAAAAAAACTCGATGACGCGATGATGATGACGGTGGGATCGAATGGGGAGGTGTGTAAATAATAAAGTGGTTTGACGTACCAGACGCAGGCGAGCCAGTGGGCGACGAGCATGTAGAAGCAAAGGAGCAGTATCAGCATCGCCGCCCCATACTCGAGGTACCTGTCGAGCTTGCGAACGACTCTGCCGAGCCTTAACAGCCTCACGACCTTCAGGGCCGAGAACAGACTGCCAATGCCGTCCTCGTCGTGGTCGAACGCGTTGAACACATCGTAGGGCAGGCAGCTTAGCAAATCTATCACGAACCAACTTTTCAGGTAGTTCATTCGTATCACCTGCGGGTCGGACACATTTTTTCTTTTATTTTTACACGTATACATATACATTTCCCAATGAGATATCACGGGGATGATTTATATAAATATCCACGTTCGCGCGTTACACGAGCAAGCCTCCCTGGTTTATATACATGTATCGGCGACGATTCAAGCTATACAAAACTCGCGTATCTGTTTTTTTTTGTCCCCACCCTCGGTCTCTTGATTAATGGCGCTCGCTCTGATCGCTGAAATATTAGCTGACGTCACGTATATGTTTTTTTTTTTGGCGATTACAATAAAAAAAAAAAAATGTGAACGAAAAGGACACGAGCGCGACATTGTCATCGGAATGTCAAACACGACGTGGCATGGGAGATAAAAAAAAAAAAAAAAAGGGGGGGGAAATTTATCGTAGCCCTGTGGAGGTATAAAAGAGGGTACGGGACCTTTGGATCGGACACCACTTCTCCGCCAGCGCCGACAAAAGTCGTGTGAAAGTTGAGAACGATGTCGATGAAGAATATGACGTCGACAATGGTGTCGACGACCAAGAGGAACACGTCCTCGCTGGTCTTGTTCTTGAAGGCCACGTTGTACGGGACCATGATGGCCGTGTAAAAGGTGAGGCAGAGGATGATCCAGTCCCAAATGGCCTTGAACGCGCAGTAGTGCAGCAATATGTGGGGCGGGGTCTTGGGCGCCTCCTGTCTGTACTGCGGCATCACGTCCCCGCTTAAGGACATCATCTGCGACCGAAACAAGAAACGTCTAGTTTTTTTTTTTCCTCTCTCTCTCTCTCTCTCTCTCTCTCTCTCTCTCTCTCTGGAATATGATGGATCGACCTCTTGGGTGCGGGATACTGTGCGTATACAGGACCTCGAGAGGGAACGTGGGTTCGTTGACTCGGCTCCCTCGAGAGATGTACGGCTCTCGATTTCACCCGCTATTTACGACCGCGGTCTCGAGTCCCACGCGCATGACGATCTCACGTACCTGCATCTTCCGCGATTCTTACGCCTCTCGTTTCACTTTTGTTACAATTTTTCATTTTTGGCAGCGTTTTGTCGAAACTCGCGCGTTCAATGGCTACGATATGCATTGCGATAAATATATACCCTGTGGGAAGCCGGAAGCGTTTCGGCCGAAACCGCGTAATCCCGGGGATACGATATCGGTAATCCCGATTAGTTGCGAAATCGCGGTTCTCCTGTACCTAACTGTATCTGGTACTTAAGTCGAAGGAGCAGTTGTAGTCGTTTGGCCCATGCATATTCAAATACTAAAGAGTCGAAACGATAATCCATTAATTTTGCCGATCGCGTGAGTACAATCAAGCCCAACAATGATGTGATATGTGTAATCGGTGGATGTCGGAAGGACATCAATTTTGGCCAATGTTCCCCGAAATAAATTTCTAATGTAAATTGGGCGCTTTGTTTTCTCGGCTCGATAAGTAAGAGAGTAACTTTTAAGGGGAAGAAAAAGCAATCGCGAACAAAGTTGAAATTCATTCCCTCCCCCCCTTTCCGAGCGCTTCGATTGAGTGTCGGAAGCGGAAACGCTAAGTTTTTTTTTTTTCCCCTTCCGTTTCACGAGTGAAATGCAAATTCTCGACCGAAGAATGTTTATTAATGGCTTAGCGAATAAAAAAAAAAAAAAAAAAAGTTTCAAGCCACCCACGAGGGAGCTCACTGGATTTTGCGCGAAGGTACGATTACTTCTACCAATGTAAAAAAAAAAAAAAAAAAAAAAAAGAAAAAAAAAGAAAAAAATGGCCATTTGCGATGTGGGCAATCCGCAATAAGTATAACTCCGATGAACCGCTCGATTTGAGCATCGTGCTACCGGCGAGTGCAATAATACTTAGTTTGAAATACGTTGGGCAGTAAAACTCGAGATCTCCTCAAATTTGTATGATAATGTCGAACGGACTGCAATTTATACACGTGTGGGTATACTGTGTGCGTCTTGCGAGTCAAAAAAGCCGGGGGCTATTTGCGGAGCGCGAGTAATAAAGCCACTCGAGTATCAATGGAGTTGAATTAATTTGTCGTAAATAAAAGGATTGGGATTTTTTTTTTTTTTTCCCCTCGTTCATCATTAGAATACGTAAAGGAAGGGGCGAACTAATCAATTTGGGGATGACGGAGTTAGGGTGCAATTTAGGATTAGGTAAGTGTTAATTAGGTAGCTATGGATCATGATACTCATGAGGTGTTAATTTCTATCGTGACAGGAAGAAAAATAATAATGAAAAGAGACTTACGTGGCCCAAGTGGGACTGTTTGGTGGTGACGGGTATGGCGGAGTCCTTGACGGCGGGCACGTGCGAGCTGAACTGCGACACGAGGACGGACCTTGAGCGCGTGACCGACCGAGCGAGCTTGGCGAATTTCGACAATCCGCCTTTCGTGTCGTCCGTCTCGATCGGCTGCTTCAGTGCGGTTATGTCGCGGAACGTCAGCAGGAACAGGACCACGAGGTCCCGCTCGTTTTTTATCGGGGCTATCTGTAGCAGCAGCCATAGCGGCGTTTCTACGTATCGGGGGAAGAAAACAAAAAACAGAGACATGACACAGGGGTGTGTCGTTAGCTTGGGAGTTTTTTTTTTTTTTTTTTTTTTTTTTTTTCAGGAGTTGGGCTGAACGCACGGAGAAACACGTAGATGCTCTATTTAACCAATTGAGGGACACGATTTACAAATGTGTGTCAAGATTGTCCGTCGAAACGATATAGTGACACAGTGATTTGCCGCACGACACCAGAGATCAGAGTCGCGATTTCAACCAGAATAATAAATCGTTACAAGCGATACGAGAAATTACATGGTACACGTATCGGTGTAAAAATATTCAAGTCACAATGTTTTACATACATGAATTATATCGATCCATCTAAAAATTACGATTGAACATTGTTAAAACGTTGTTTCTCCGTGCGTTGAAGTAGCATTGATGATGGAAGTATGGGATATATAAATTAACATACATCACTATAGGGTCAAATGTATTTACATCAGGCTCGAGTAATAAAACAGCTATACATTTATGTATACATTATTATTTGGTTGAAAAAACAAATGATAAAATCAACATTTTATTGTACATGTATACAGTAGTAGTATAGTAGTAAATATATATATTATAAATGATATTGAAGCACACAATGCGGGATAGTCGTACTATTGGTGAGAGAGTGGTGGTATATATTTATGTATACGTGCTAGTAATTAAAATATCGAGCATATTAGTATTATTATATGTGTATAAAAAAGTATGTACATTATTTTTAATGGGGAACAAAAAAAAATTTAATTTGAGAAAAGCGTCAAAACGCGATTAGTCGTGTTATCAAACTTCTCTTCGCGTTTTGACGGAGCCAAGTATATTACGATCTAAGGGGTAAATATAGCAAAAATCCTACGAGTCCTGAGGCTGAGATGAGCTGATATACCATACCGAAATGCAATCTAGTCACGTTTTCTATTTTATCTCTCTTTTGGATGTAAATCAATGCGGTATATGTTACTTGATTTTCATTGAATGTTATTTCAACTCAGCACAGCCTCGGTCATTACGACGGAATCAAAGTTACTGAGGTAAGGTTGTACGAAAATAATTACAATAAAGAAGAATAATAATATACACTACGAAAAGGAGGAGCAGAAAGAGAGAGAGAGAGAGAGAGAGTATATACCTATAACGTCAGCAGTAACAGTAACAGAGCGAAAGGGAGACAAGACTGGGTGTACAATAGAGGGAAGCCGTGCGAAGGGGAATATTTTAAAAGAGAAAAAACGCGTGGAGGAAAAACGATGTGACGCGTCTAATTTTTTTATACGTGGACGAGGGCAGGTGTATGTATCGCAAGAGAGAACATGGAAAATTCGCGGCTCTTCCTGTGTTTACGCTATTTTATCCTTTGAGGGTTGAAAAAAAAGGAAAAATAACTGTTTGACCTCGTTTTTCCGAGTATCTATTTTTATTTATTTTTTTTTTGTTTTAATTTCGAGAGCTGACATGCGGCGAACAAAGGGGGAAAATCTCGACGGTGCTTTCAAAGTTAAAAGGATTGCAAGAGAGCAGGAAAACGACGGTCGGTGAGTTTCGTAATTGTTGACGATCGATCGCGATCAACGGGAATTTGTGTTACGTGCCTACGTTTTGATCAAATCGATGGGCTGAAATGAAAAAGCTTATTGCTCATCCAATACCAATAAACCAACGTGATTTAATGTTTTCATTGCAAAGAAAAAAAAAAAAAAAAAAGAAAAAACAATTAATTCAACGGTATTCAAGTCATGCAGGACCAAAAAGTTAAGTACCGCCAGGGAAAAGGTTGATACCCTCATCGATTACAGCCCCGCGTATCTGGGCCAAGAAAAGCTCATTAAAAATTGAGGCGCTAACGTTTCTCCCTTACTTTACCTACATAACGACATTAAAATTTTCATGAACGTTCAATTATCCATCGCTGCAGCCGATCGATCACACGTTTTCCCCGCCCCGATCCAACGGGACCATTCACCTTTGACGTTATTACACAATCGCGTATCGAGAAAAAAATCGAACCCGAGAGTTCTAATTTCGTGACACTCGGCCGAAATCTATTTCCGTGTGTATCCACTTCAATTAATTTTGCAGCCAACAGGAGAGCCTGGCTTTGCTCTTTCGAAAAGGAAAGTTAATTTTTTACACGCGCAAGCGCAAGAAACTGTGTCAGGCATTTTTTGTTGCTCGGGTCCCTTTTTTTTTCTGTTTTTTCGTCCTTCCACCGATCCTAGTTGAACAGTATCGTGTACTCGACAATCCGAGTGACGTGTTTTTTTTTTTTTTTTAATTGAAAGAAAAATTTTGTTTTTCGATGTGGTGAATGCAAGAAACGCGATTCGTCGATGTATAAAGCTGAAAAGGGTTGGTTCAAGTGTTGCAGATGCAAAGGATCGAATGCTCGATGAGACAAAAAAGAGGTGAATGAAGAGTGTGTACGTATAGATTTGGCTTTTTACTGCATCGGGTCTAATTATAATTACTTACATCGTCGTTTCTTCGGTTGGGTAATTCATTTCATTTGTGCAGAAAAAAAATCGTGTTTGTTGAAATAAAAATCAAGATATTGGTACGAAAGCATTTAAAATAATTTATTTATTTAAATGACAAATAAAAGTTGTAGCAAAAAAAAAAAAAAAAAGAAAAATCAAAAGCTGCGTTATTCTTGGGAGTCAAATCTTTCCCGTCGCACATTGCAGCAGTATCGTCATGCAAAATTGCGAATAATCTTACTATAATTTTCCTTTCGTCGTGTCACTAAGCGTAATTGAAAATTTCCAGTGTACACCAAAGCCACGTTGAAAATTAAATTTTACAATGTACTCTCGCGAGTGATTAAAAATTTTGCAAACAAACGTTGGAGCACATTGCATTTGCATGATTGTATGCATCGTGTAAAATATATAGAAAAATATGGTGCGTGTCTTGTAAATGATTAATACATAACTGTATCATTTAGGAAACGTGAAAGTGTGTCAGCAGAGGTGGTCCAGAAGAATAGTAAGAATACTAGTGTTTTAGAGGAGACAAAAAGAGAGATGTATGCACTGGCGACAGACTTAAGTTACGCGGTAAAAGAGAAAAATAGAGAAGGGGATCACTAGGGATGAGATAATAGTACAAAAAAAAAGAAAAAGAATAATATAATCGACACAAATGCGTCGAATCTACGTATTATCTCACATTTGTTTTATTCGTTAAGTTAATTTTTTTATTATACTCCTCTTGCATCGCTCAAATGGGCAGGTAGGGCTGCCAGACCTTTTATCTCGTTTAATGGAATCGATTATGCATTGACCTTTTTTTTCCCGCCCCTCTCCGGAGATTCATGTGTCGGACGTTCTTGCGTCATCAAATCCCCAAATTATTCGATGCTCCGATTTTTTTGTCGTTAAAAAAGCAATTTCAGTAAATTTTTCTTGGTATAAAAATTGAGAATAATTTTTGTTTTTGCTGTGAATGAAAAAAAAAAGAAGGAAAAAGAGATTATTCTAAATTTTAATCAAACGTTTTTGATTGGGTGATTAAGGCTGCCAGCCCTAAGTGCGATGCGAGCTCGAGGTGACTTACAGACAGGATTTTTATCTCACGAATTTCACATTACCTCGTGGAGTACCTTTAAAGAAAATTATTTCACATTATTTTCCACCGCCAACTTTGGGTACTATTATTATTACTATTAATATTTTTTTTTATAGTAAAGAAATGAGCAAAGAAAAAGATAATATGCTTGAAAGAGATCAAATGAGATCGAACAGAGAAGAGAAAAATTTATGCGCTACGTAACTTTAGCTATTTTCACTTTTGCAAATGATGTATACATTTATGTGTACGTGTGTGCGATTGAAACTAAAAAAAAAACAGTGATATCACATCGAGTTGCAAGACACACAAATACTTGATGCACATAAATTTTTCCTCCTGTAAAAGGGGGGGGGGCAAATGTTGGTTATTGTTTGTTGTATAAAATAGGTGTAGCTAACACACAAGTACTTATATATGTATTTACAAATTTGCTGTTTGCGTGGATCACATTTTCTTTTAATGCATATCTTTTATCCAAAATTCACTTTTAGTTTGTCAATAGATGCGAGCAAACAAAATCATAAGAGCAAAAATTAAATAAAAAATACAGGTACATTTTTTGCACAGTAAAAAACGTTCGACATCGATGTTTTACGTATACACACATGTGTGGTCAAGAACTACATGCATTTTATCAAGGCAAAAAAAAAAGTTCTCGTTCAAAAAAAAAAATTACATACATAAAATCCCTATTACTACGTAACGCATCCGCTTTTTTTTCCGTTTACGTCGTTTATGTCTGACCAAACGCGACCTCATACCACTTGAATATATATCCTCGTACATGTGTCCACTTATTCCCGATCGAGATAAACATAATGGTCTCACAAAGACATTCGTTGAATACCAAAGTGTATACGACGTGTGTATATATTATGTACGTGTGTTTGTACGTGTATACAAGAGACTGCACAAACAGGGCCTTTTTTTTCGTTTATCGTTCGAACAGATTTTCTTTTTTTTTTCTAGGTGTACATAGATATAGATAGACGGATGAATAGATTGAGCGTGAAAAGAAGACGATACTCACTGTTCTTTTTGTAAAGTAAAATCTCGAATTGGTCGCAAATTTGTCCTTCGAGGCACTCTTCGATCCGTGCGATCGTTTCTTTGTCGGTTAGCTCGCCGTACATGAAGCTGCACCGACATGACTTTTGCATCACCTGCAATTGACGATGAATCTTTGCAATTGGTTCCCTCATTCTTTTTTTTTCTTCTCTACTTAGGACTTTATCATCATTTGTTAGAGTAATATAATTTAAATTGTTTATTACTAGTTGTGCTGGTACAATACCTTATGAATTAAATAATATACCTTATACTGAAACGTACTTACTCTCTATGTTAGTTTAATTTTCGTAACATAATTGTACAGGTGATATCAAATTTACATGTTGAGTAATTCTAGAGGGTAGTATAGTTAATCTGACTCTTTCAAAAATTTTTATCAAAGCGTATAATTTAACCGTTCATTACTCAACTAAACCATCATTTCTACTATTGTTGCACAGCTGAAAATAAAATTTTTTACACCTCTACTGTTCTTAACAAATATCCCACAATTTACAATTTAGTAATTAGAAAAAAAAGTGACGTAAGCTCAGCCATTCGTTCACCACGAAAGCACCAACAAAAGCTTCGAAACCGCAAAATGAGATACACCCCCTTTCTTAAAAAAGAAGAGGAAAAAATACCTAGTTCCCCCGCCAACGCTTCTGTCGCGATAAGACCAATAGGGTAAAAACAATGCGAAGTTAATCCAAGCTTCCCCTATCCCTAGCGCACAACCGGATTTCCGTACGGCCATTTATACAGACTAGAAGTGTAAGTTTTCCCTTCCCCCCTCTCTTTTCGCATATAACAAAAAGCCAAAGGAATTTGCGATGCAGCTGCGCGCCAATGCCGGCATCTGTTTCGGCCACTCGCACGCTTCCTAATCAACAGCTCGATACAAGTTTAATCGAGTTGGAGCGAGAATGTAAATTACTGGCTTGTTTTTGTTTTATTTTTTTCCCCCCTTTCGAGAACGAGAGGAAACGTGTTTTCGTTCCTTCCCCCCAGGAATGAAATTATACATCCATTGGCATGCCATTACTAGCAACATTTTACTATCGAGTCTTTGTGAGTGTAGTATAGCGGGACTATCAAACCCTCGATAAAAATTCGTGAAAGCTTTTGCAAATCCAAGATGATCCGGCCATTAACACGTGTTTTCCCCGTCCGACCTTATTCTCCCGGCAGGGCTCCAAATCCTTCCGGAATTTTTATCCCCCTCGCACATACACAATAGGCACGTACTTGCACACCTACTCAAGCTTCTCCATCTCGCGTTACCGGCTTTGGCTGCAAGCCGTAAATTAATTGTTTCCTCGGATATTGGCAGCAGCGTGGCTAGGCTTTAATGCCTCGCGTAAATCACTACCCTTTGGGTTGGGGGTGGGTTGGCAAGAGCGCGAGAGAGGCAGGCGCTAAGACGGCTGCAGTGCCGAAATCTATGTGGATACCCTGGTTGTGCCTGTAGTTTCTTCTTTTCCCTCGCGAAAAGCCCCGGTAAAACCTGTTTCGTAAAATAAAGTCCCCCAGACTCCCCTCTGCACCTGCGTTGTGGAAAAAGTTGCAGCTGGGGAAGGAGCCATACCGCCTTATGGAGTGGTAATTGCAAAAGTTCCTAGAGGCTCGCTTTGTTTTTCTCTTTTCAGCGCAATCACAAAAAAGCTACACTTACACCAAGTTCATGACAAAAGATGCCTCTTTGAATGTTTTCCCCGAAAAAATACTGACTTGGCCAGTTGAGGAGCAGATGACGGTTCGTCGATTTTCATTTCAATAAAATGGCGCGAGATCCAAAAGTTATTTTCTTTTCGTCCCACGACGACTCGCCCTCGTGTAAAACAACAACAGCGGGGCTCCCAGATTTTTCATTGAAATTCAAATTGAATCCGTACACGCGTGCTCCGATGCATGTTTTCTTGGAAAATATTTTTAGGCATGGATCCGAGGTGAAACGTCATCTGCACACGAGTTCAATCGGGGCCAAAGAAACACACACGCACACACATAGACACACAAGCAGAAAAATAGAGTGAGCGAGAGAGAAAAACCAGCTTACCTCGGCCCGGTTGTAGCCGGATATCTTGCAAAAGCTCTCGTTGCAGTAGACGATCGGAAAGTCGACGATCTGAGCGTTTGCCAATAGAAAACTGCTGTCGGCTGTAACAGATAAACAAGCGTATGTTTTTTTTTTTTTTTTTTTTTTTTTCTTGCAAAAAAACTAATAAAGGCGTGACATTTCAAATTTGGAGTGCGGTGTAAGCTCGTAGTAGTGTTTTTTTTTCAACTTTGAAATTGCTGTGCTCGCGAGAAAAAAAAAGGGCACGCCAGAATTCGGCCTTAGAGCAGGATGGAATTAAAGAAATTACCGATACAGCTAAAAATACACTCGTACGAAATCGGGATACATCAGTATGCGACACAATTTCCAGAAAAAAAAGAAACTTTTACTTCACAAAATGTCTTTTTAATTGCTTTTCCATGTCTAGTGAATTAAAAAAAAAACACAAAAAAAAAAAAAAAAAAAAAAAGAAAATGCACGGGAAAAATGTATTTTCATCNTTTTTTTTTTTTTTTTTTTTTTTTTTTTTTTTTTTTTTTTTAAATAATTTTCACATAATGTCATATTATATTTCATATTCATTTGAATTCGCATTCGAATGAAAACAGTTTATCCGAAAGGGGAGCTCGGAACTTTTTGTCCCGCCCTCGAGGCCGAACTTTAATTTATTTACCTCTCGAAATCGAGATAAAACCACCCTAAAGGTGAAAAGCTTATCCTATATAATTTCAGCGCGAGATCTGCGAGATCTGCTTTATCTGCTGCAACTATTACAATTACCGCGAGAAAAGAAAGGGAAGGGAGAAGTGGGATTTAAAAGTTTTCATATCTGCTCATCTTTCGGTCATTGTTGCACGAGAGAGAGAGAGAGAGAGAGAGACAACGACGAGAGAGGCGTGACTAAGTTTCGCGTCCATGGATAGGTACCTTCTTTTTGAAATTTCGTAGTGGGCCTATGGCAATCCGAGAGGATCAAAACTCAAACTACTGTTTATCTTTTAATAAAGTTGAGCGAGGCTTGATTCGGATCTTTTATGTATTTTATTGTGCTTTATTAATTTCATGTTATGATTTATTTATTTTTTATTTATTTTTTATTTATTTTACAATTGATGATGTATACGTTTTATTATTTTATTGGCTAATTTGAAGAAAAAAATTGTAACCAATTTTCAGTATTTTGCTCGTCTGACCATATTGTTGTCAGTAGAACATGCTTTCGCAAAAAAAGTTCCCTCTTACATGATTAAAAAAATTTTTTTTTTCTCTCGTGCAATGTAAAAACTCAAGCTGAGAAGAAAAATCCATCACGCTGATCGTAAATTATACACGTACATCGTATGCAGGGCTCCGAAGAAAAAAATACCTCGCTGCAGATGATGATGCATTTATACTCTGTACGAACCGCAGATTTGAGCTTTAATCGATCATTTTACTCGATCAAAAAAAAAAAAAAAAAAAAAACACTCCACACCCCGCGTTGTAAATTAACTTTTACAACGTGGTGAAAAAAAAAAAAAAAAAAAAAAAAAAAACGAAGCACAGCTAGTTCATCATTTGTGCCACCTCTATTTTTACACGGCAACGTATCGAGTACATCGAGGGAGTAAACGAGTTATAGAAAAAAAGTGCACCGGGGCACGAAATTCGGGTGGAAAAATCCCGGAAATTCACCAGCAGCAGTAGTCGCGAAACCAAAGATTGATGTTGCCGGCGTGACGAGTCTCTCTCGCGTGTATACACATTTGGGTAGAGCATTGCTGATGCACCACGTGAGTATATATGCACACAATGCACACAGGACACGGGCGTACGGAGCTTTAGCTCGCTTTCATATACCACGATACGGTACACAGTTTCGTCATCTCTTTTGATTCCCACTTCGGCCAAAACACAATCTCCCTCCCTTCCTCCCTCCCCCTATCTCTCTCTCTCTTCCTCCCTGCGGCATTAGCAGACCAATACATCCACGCGCGTGCATGCATGTACCTCATATCACGTCCCGTTTCTGGAATTGCATAATATACCGCGCACAGCCCTCTCTCGTGACTCCCCATTTCCCTGGCGAATAACGTTCCGCGAGAGAGGATTTCCGCTCTTTTTTTATCCGAGAAAACCGAAACAACAGCTACAGTCGTGCCGTGGGTGTTTTTACATCATTAGTATGGATATGTATACCCGTGCATGTGGAACTTTATTTTTCTATACTCTACAAGTGAAAGCCGCGTTTGTGTGGCACACCCACCCACGCAAAATAGTTTAGTAGGGGTCGTTGTCACAAGTCAGGCAAAGGGGATCTATTTTCGTCTAATTTGCACACCCTTTCCGGAAGAGCTGACTCTGTTATTTAGATAACATCTCGCTCGTTTTCCCCAGATTGCACCCACTTGTATACATACATACACCCGAGAGTTTATTTGCAGATTTATTTTATAATTTTTTTTTTTTTTTCCCTCGACAGAGCGACTATAAACGACCAGTCGATGATCAATTACACAACCAAAGAGGCTTACGAGAGCCCACATTGCGCAAGTTCATTAAAACACCGGAAGCAAAGAGTTGATGGCCCGAACGTTCAGTCCCTTTGGCTTCGCACTTTTCGACTCGTTGAAAAAAGAGAAAGAGAGAGAGAGAGAGAAAAAAAAGGGCAACTCACGGTCCGTCCGATTAAACAGTTCCGGACACGGGGCTCACCAACGACTCTCAGAGCAAGCTTATCTAAGCTTCGCACGCACGAACGCACCCACCGCAAGCCGACCGAGCGAGTACTCGAACGGCGTGCTAATCCCACCCCGCGAAAACCAGTCGCAACGCTATAATGGAATCACTGCTCGTTCGAGCTGTTGGCAACAGCTGCCACCGGGACCGAAGATCCACGGCACGACGGGTCCCCCCTTCCCCACCACCTCCCGGCTGTAGTTTTCTAAGCTCCGACACTTGCCAAAGTGTTTCGACCAAAGTGAGTTAGCGATGTCTGTGTGTACGACTGCTGTTTTTGAGATGAGTTAAGTTTGTCTACAGTCATTGTTCGATTGATTTTATTCTTAATTGTTGGATACATACTCAACCAACAACAATAAACAAGTAATATTGATGCCAGAGTTCGATCGCGTGCGGAAAACAGGGAAAACCGGAATGTCTGACCGAAACTTGACTCGTACTACTTGCCCTGAATTCCCCGGGAGCGCGTCGCGAGAACTCAATCGGGGTCGATTAAGCGCAACTAGTGCGCGTTTCTCGCATACTTTCCGTACTCTACGACAGAGATACCGATGAATCCTAAACAAAACAAAAAAAATAAAACAAAAAATACACGTAGGCAAGCAGGTGGATGGACATAGGCTTGTTGTTTCCTCGTTTTTCATCAACATCCGTGTACTGTTGTAACGAGCGTGCACTGTTTTAGAATCAAGGGGGAAAAAAATGATGCGATACAAAAGTACAATCCACATATTGTGCGTCAGTTACTGATTTTCATCGCGACTGTTAGCAACGTGTAATCAAAACGTCGCAAAGAGATGGAAAAAAAAATGAGCGATTATTTGTTTCTCCATTATTTTCACAACACGTACATCGTACAGTGATTGCAGTACAGAGCAAATGCGACCCTTGTAAGCACGAGGCACGCGCGAGAGCTTAATGAGAAAACGAGAACGACGCCAAGGGAAAGGGGTTAATTGGCTCTCGTGCGTGCACACACATTGGATTCCCGGCGATCGCTCCTTTCGTTGAAACAAGACCAACGACAAGCGCACCATTCGAATCCACAACGTGTGGGCTGGACGAGATGCCCGTTATGAATACCTCCACTTTTTACGTCGGGACGCCGGAATGCCTTTGTCGGCCTGTGTATTTAAACCCCGCCAGTTGGATAATCCATCCTTTTTTTCCATCCCCCATTTCGGTGAAAATGAAAATAACAAAAAGAAGAAACCCTCTCGTCAACAGGCACTGGAATTCATTGTGGGAAAAAGTGATCGTTTTATAGCAACCCTGTATGTACGCAGTTCTTGGGAAGAAAAAAAAAAAAAAAAAACCACTTTGCCCACTTTGACGAAACTTCCCATTCGAATTAATCAAAGACACCGTTCAAGAGATCTTCATTAAGAGCCCAAAGGGGAGTTTGCTCGGGTCGCGTAATCCCTTCTCGCGCGTCATTAAGCCCCAGCCACGATTCCTAATAGCCTTATACATTATCCTCAAAGTCGTAGGGGACTGCGGAGAAGGAAAAAAATCACAAGTGGCTATAATCAAGACCCCCCTTTTCCCCGGCGATTGACCCGTACGTAATACCTCCCTTGGTGGGTATATGTAGCCACGCGCGTGTACACCTCCGTTAACAGCGCAAGAAGCCTTTCACACGGGCCGCTCCCCCCCCCCGTAGTTGTCGTTTGGAGCCCGGTACTTTTGACCGAGTAGCCACTAGAGAAAGAGATGCTTCTATTGCACTTGAACCGTTACTCGTTGAAAGCTGCAACCCATCGAAGAGCCACCTCGCGTGTGTACACACTCGAAGGGGTAGCTGCTGATGTGCTGTGGTGTCGCTTTTTTTTCTCTCTCCTCCTCCTCTTCTTCCTCGTTTTCTTGATTGTTTGCGTATACTGAGCTCTGGGCCAAAGAATGCAAATCGAGTCACCGCGCGCGCAAGAGAGCGGACAAGGATCTACTTTGTCACTCGAGTTGGCTCTTTGGGTATCTCGTGTGATTTTCTTGTCTATTTTTTCTCCCCCCTCAAAGTACTTTAGGGAGGATTAGTTTTATCTTTAAAGCGATTAATGTGTCTCGAGCCAAGGCGAAGCATCGCTCGGAGATGAAGATAAGACGGCGTCGGAGGGCCCTCTGTCAAGGGTTATCGATGATACACAACGTGGACGTCGAGAGATAGGCGTGAAGTATTTACAAACAAACGTGAATTTTTTTTTTTTTTTTTAAGCTATATCTGGGTTGGGATCGCCCATGAAAACATGTGCCAGATCGTCGAACCATCGGAGCATTAAAAACCAAGCAACCGATAAACCACTGATCAAACAAACCCTTTGAGGAGGAGGACCCCTCCCGCTTTGGAAGGACAAAGGGAAATCCCAATAGTCCCGAAGGG